ATTCATGGGCTTTGGCCATTGTTGAGAAAGGCTACCTTTTCTTTTACGTACACATTTGTCTTAGTAGTGCGAGCATGGTAGTTCTTACATCATCTTGCCTATTAACTTCCTTGAATCTCTTTTCCTCATTAATTATTCCTTAATGTTTTCAACTTGGAGAAGATTTAACAGACTCCCTGGTGCAGTCTATACTTAGTTGTATACAAGAAACTTTGTTATTAATTAAAAGGTGTCTTCTTCCCCTTGCAATCTATTTTCTGTGATACCTTCCTCCTGGATTTCCAATCTGTTTTATATCTTCTTCCCAATACCTCAAACAATTCAAGCTTTCACAGCTTTGTTTTTACATTCACTGTTGTTATGGCTAACTTGTGCATTATTTTATTGAAAATTTGCTATTTATCAAGTTGGCATACACAAATAAATGTAGCGTCTGTCTACACTTAGATGACTTCTGGACCTCTATTGAAATATTTACACTGGCTCTTTGTAATAGCGATTTAACATAAGTTATTTTCTACTTAGAATTTGTAAAATTGATTTCTTTTGTTTGTATGCTCAGGGTTCCTCATGGCCGCTCAAAAAATAAAATAATAGAGAGTAGTTCTATGAAACAGTATGCTCACATGACAGTGGAAAGTGAAGACTAGAAAGGAGACAGTTGTGGATTTTAGTGTTAAATATTGACCTTAATGGGACTTTTCTCTAGGAAGCTCCCTTAAATTGTGCGCCTTAGTACTACTAAAAAGAAAATTAATATTTTTGAAGCAGGAGTTCCAAATAATCAGTGTAGAAAATAATCTGTAACAAATTCTTTGTCTCTGCCAGGATTGCCAGTTCTGGTATACTCAGTTTCCAGCAAGTGTTTCTGCATGTAAAATGAATTGAAACTTCCTGTAAAGTTATCTTTGCTGTCTCAATTGGCTTTTGTTAGTCTGATTCAGACTCATTAATTCCCCCAGATTCTTGTCTAATCTTAGAAATCTTCCTGCCATGCAGGTAAGCAAACAAACCCCAGAAAGCCAGGGAAGATAAAGGCAAATTAAATCAATTTACCATCGACCCCTTTCCTGTCTTTCAGTCTAGCTGAATCCTAGGGATCATGTATGCCCTCTTCCATTTCTTGTACTTTATTGCATAAATTAGAGGATGTAAGTCGGCTTTGAAGAAAATCCCTCTATTGTTTAAAGAAAAGACTCCACTCAGGATTGGGTGTAGTTTCACCCAATCACTTTTTTTTAAAAAAGGTATAACGATCCAAAAGTAATAGTAGTGAAATGATTTTCATGATTCCTGACTAAATGTCACAAAGTAATGTGAAAGCTTTCATATTTCCTAGAACTCTTCTTCAAGCTAGACATTGAATAAAACCCAAAAACTTTTATTAAAGAAGGATGAAAAAAATGAGTTTGTAACATTCATTGTTACCTGTCTGAATTAATTTGTATTTTCTTAAAATAGGGACAGTACAGGGTGTTAACCAATCCCTTGAGGATAATAGATTTAAGATTGCACCAACAAATGCTGGGACAGAGAAGCAAGCCATTGTGGTTCTTCTTTTGAAAATATAGAAGCTGGCAATAATTTGGATCTTCCTTTTCAGCTAATCAGAACACATGGCTTTCTTTAATCTTTGTTGTGATACAATAAGTGTTTTGGGCTTTCAGTATAGAGTTGTGCACAATCCGAAGTACTGAAAATCCAAGTTTCTTAGATTCCAGGACACAAAAATATGGATATTCCTGTTTGTCTAGTCCTCTGTATTAGGTAACCAAAGAATATGAGCTTGTTACATAAATGGCTATAAGTGTATCACAGCAAGTCTCCCCCCACCCCGTCTCCCTGGATTTAAACCTTTGTCTGTAATCTTACATATTCAATAGCTGATTGTTTAAATTTACCCCAGGGGTCTTTTCGTAGACAAAGAGCTGCAGGAGCTCATTAGCATACCTAATAGGATATTAGCATAATAGCTCATTAGCATATGCCACGCCCCCTGACATCACTGGAAGTGCTGTCAGAAGGGGAAGCAAAAAGGGGGGAGGCATCTTCAAAAGCCTCCCCTTCCCTTCCCCAGGCGGGCTTGGGGGGGGGGGGAAGCGAAGAGAAAAGGGGTTTAAAGCGGCGGCACAATCTTTCCATTATATTGTATGGGGCCATAGAATACAGTGGAAAGATCGCGCCACTGTTGTGGCGCAACTCCAGAGAGAAGGGGTTTAAACTTTAAACCCCTTTTCTCTTCGCTTCCCCCTCCCCCCAGCCCGCCTTGGCAGGACGGCTGGGGAAGGGAAATGGAGGGGAGGCTTTTGAAGATGCCTCCCCCCCTTTTTGTTTTCCCAGCCGACCTGCGAAGGCGGGGTGGGGGGGAAGCAAAGAGAGAATACAATGGAAAGATCGCGCTGCCGCTGCGGTGGTGCGACTCTAGAGAGAAGGAGCTTGGGGGCGGGGGGCTGGGAGTGGGGCTTGCCACCACCGCCATTTGTGCCTGCTTCTGGGCTGCTGGAGCAGTGCTCTGGCGCGCTCCGGCCCCAAATGACCCCTGCCCCAGAAGGCTTTTCTGTGTGTGTTTGGATACTGATGTCTGCTTCCTGCTACCTAAGCTATTGAAGAAAATAGATATTTTGGGAGAAGTGCAAGAAACTAGGAAGGTGGGGGCTAAACCACTAACCAGAGGGTGCTGATTGGTATATTCCTGTGTTAATATCATACTATAAATAAATGAATATTGATGGCAGTAAGATGGTTAAAAGATTTGAACCTAACCATAGCCTGGCTGGACAATCAAAGAGTTGTGCTTTGTAAGGATTTATAAATGGGTGCCAATCGTATCCTACTTCCTTTTTTAGAGTGTTTATATAGGCTGTTGAGAACAGGAGAATATTCAGACCTACCTTAATGAAAATTTCTTCGTTTGAGCTGAATTACAAAGCCATATTTTGCATAGTAGATTGGTTTTTACATAATCACCCTCAAATATATTCTAGGTAAAATAGTTCAAGTTTCCTTGGAACCAACATAGACTTTTTACAGAAGGCTAGGGAAGGACTGAGAAGATTTGTCAAAGGATACATAAGAAAAAGACTGATGAGAGTGAACAGAGGGATGGTTCTCTGAAGGGGGTAAAATAACAGACAATTGGATCGAAGGGAAGCAAATTGAAAATGATTAGGACTAACAACTTCTAATTCTGACTCCCTATTTTTAATAAAACTACATAAAGTTTCACTCCCTTGTTAGGTAAAGGTTTCTGTCCACAAATAACAACCAAATTTTGATGAAGATAGCATATGTCATATTTCAGTCTTCTTTATTCTTTGCAGCTGATACTGTCTTTTGGCTCAGTTTTTGTCCCATACGATGGGGGGGGGGGAAATCTTGCTGAGGCAGTACTAGATTCCACAGTATGACTATATCATTCTTGTTGTATTCAGCAAAAGTTGTATCTTGTATGGGAATTTTTTTTTTTTTAATTGGAGGAGATCAGTAGAAAGGGCTGGTATATCGGGGTGGATCCAGCAAGTTTTTCTGCTGTTTAAGAAGGGAAGAAGGGTCCCTTTTGACCGTACAAAAAGGCTATGCCATGTTTTTACAATCAGCGATAAAGCTATGCCAGGAAAACTACCAATGAGTAATTGTTTTATGCAGTACTATGCAATATTGTGTAGTCGGTAAAATGCTCGGCTCTATATGTATGGCTCTATATGGTTTTAAATGTATATTTGCTTTTTATAGTAATCCCCTTTTAAGGTATTTTTTGCCAATAAAGGTTCTGAACTGAATCTATGCTGGAGCTTATGGAACCTGCATAGACAAAAGCCACGTGAAACGGGCAGTGGTAAAGAGCGTGGTTGGGTGAGATTGATGACTTCATGGAAAAAACTGCACTAAAAAGGAATCTAAAGAAGGAGTAGAAAAATAATGGGCAGAGGCTACTGATGACTGCCTCTACAGAACCACTACATGGTATACATTTCCTATTTAGCTGTGGTGGTTTTCCAATTTGTAACATTTACTTCTTTGTGTTATATCGAGTGCTAGATTTTGTTGTCTTTCATAGGTACAGAGTTCTGAATCTCATAGCAAAAGAAAGAGTTGTTAAAATATAAAATTAACATTCATTTAAGAAAAGAAGAGTCAAAAGCCAGGCAAAAAATAGCATTCTAATGAATATATTGCCCTGGCGAGGTATTAAATGCTGGAAGATAGGTCCAGTGAGGGTTTCCCCAGTTTTGGGGGCTCCATCCCACTGCTTTTCAGAAGAAGCGGGGCTGGGTGCCTGCAC